CAGCCTCCACCCTCGGACCTGCTCCCAGTGACCACACAGCCTCCACCCTCGGACCTGCTCCCAGTGACCACCCAGACCATCTCCCTCTGACCTGTTCCTTAGCAGCTTCCCAGGCCACTACTCTCTGACCCACTCCCCACTCCCAAAGTCCCCAAGTCCAGTCCAGAAATCTCTCTTTCCTGTGTCTGTGGCCCAGCTCCTATCCGAGATGCCTGTGTGCCCATAGCTGGAAGCCCTGAGGGGACTGGCAGCTGGGCCTCCCTGGGCTCCAATCTGTCTGCAGATGGAGGCTCACAGAGACTAAAGGACTTGCTTTAGGTGACAGTATTGGTGAATTCAAACTCAGGTCCATCAGGTGCCAGAGTCTGAGCTGCCTCCATGTTCCTGAGTCCCCTTCTTCTAGGTGCTCCCAGGGCCTAACCCTGATGCTCCTTCCCCTGAGTGGCCCACCAAGCAGCAGTGTAGCAGTTGGGCTGGCCTCCAGGAACAGGGATAGGAGCAGAAGCCTGCTGTGTCTGGAACACAGACCCCCATTCCTGACTCCGGCAGCCTCTTAGAGCCTCAGTTTTTCTCTCTATAAAGCTCAGCCCTCCTCCAGCCTGCTTCAGCAGGCTCTTGTTAAGAAGCAAATGATGGGCTGCCGGGCGCCGTGTCTCATGCCTGTAATCCCAGCACTTTGGGAGGCCGAGGCGAGTGGATTATCTGAGGTCAGGAGTTGGAGACCAGCCTGGCCAACATGGTGAAACCCCATCTCTACTAAAAACACAAAAATCAGCCAGGCGTGATGGCGCACACCTGTAGCCCCAGCTACTCGGGAGGCTGAGACAGAAGAATCGCTTGAACCCAGGAGGCGGAGGTTGCAGTGAGCCACAATTGTGCCACTGCACTCCAGCCTCGGTGACAGCAAGGCTCCATCTCAAAAAAAAAAAAAAAAATAGAAGCAACGTGTTGTAGATGGGGAGGCACTCTGGTGGATGGCTGAGCATGCACTGGTCCAGCTGTGTCATCCCCAGGGGCTGCTACCCCAGTCCATTCTCTGTCATCACCATCACCACCACCATCATTATCATTATCACCACCTCTACCATCACCACCATCACCAACACCATCTCCATCCTCACCGCCACCGCCATCATCACCACCACCATTATCATTATCACTACCTCCACCATCACCACCACCATCATCACTACCACCACCACCACCACCACCTCCACCATCACCACCAGCACCATCACCAACACCAACACTAGCATCATCACCATCACCATCATCAATATCACCACCATTGTCCTCACCACCATGATCATCATCACCACCACCTCCACCATTACCACCACCGCCACCATCACCATCATCACCATCACCATTACCATCACCAACACCATCACCACCACCAACACCATCATCACCACCATCACCATCATCACCACCATCATCAACACCATCACCATCATCACCACTATCATCACCATGACCCCACTGAGCAATGGCCAACAGGCTCTCTATGCATCATCTGTGTCCATTTTTACA